TTAAATACGACCATTTCGGTCAGTAATAAGCTACAACGAAGGACGTGCATGCGTAGAGCCGCGAATATCCCACGCGTATGGTATGGTTCTTCTCATCTTCCAATATTAAATATCTATTACCATCCATGGTAACGTCCAAAGACCATCAACAGTTTAATCCCTCCAGTCTGAACCACCTAGCTACAACTAGCTAATCTCAAAACAAATCGAACACGCAAAAAACTTTCTCCTTAGCGTTCCTCCTTAATAAAGCATCCCGACGCAAGCCTGAACGCGCCGAGGTTTCCTACCTACGATTCCCCAGGCTTCCGTCTCCTATCGCGATTCTCCTATCGCGATTCTCCTATCGCGATTCCCTCCGCGAGGATACCCACTCGATACAGTCCACGTATGCAAACGATGCCCCGAGTTTGTTTGTATCTCTTCCGTGTACACAGCGAAAGGGAAACAGAAACCGACGAGGTGGTACGAGTCTGGCGGATCAGCGCACGCGACTCGTCGGTTTACCACCGGTCGACTCCCTTATCCGCGTGACGGAAGGCGAAACGCCGTGAGAGGATACACGTGTTCCGTGCGAACCGGCCCCCGTAATCGATCATGGAAATCCCGTGAAAAAAGTACGCTCGAATGTGACCCGCGCCGCCTCGGTCGCCGAGTGTCAAACGAGAATTAATAGTTCGCGGCAGGGAGACGAGTAATGTACAACGTTGTAGCTGGGACGGCTGGTCGCGCGATGAATAAACATGAACCGCGGGAAAAGGGGACGGGGGTGGGATGGGAGTCGTTTCATCGACGTTAGAGAAACAAAGGACAAAACGAAGAGGCCAAAGGAGGAAGTCGTCCACGAGAAAAGAAGATATATATATATAAAAGAAGAAGAAAAAAAGCAGGAAAAGTGGTAGAAAAAGAAATTAATAATCGGGGCGGGTCGCGAGCTGCGAACGAGAAGAGCGGAGTCGGGGTTTTGCGGACGGGGCTGTTTGGGGGGACACGGGGGATAGAGGGAGGGCTTTAACCGGTGACCTTTTTGAAATTCTAATTTCGTTGAAAGCACTTCGAGGCAAGCGGATTTTCATTTTTTTCCAACCTCCTCCCCCCACCTTCACCTCCACCTCCACCACCCCCCCAACTGTTCGTCATGTTTTTACTACCCCCTACCCTGTTGGTCGGGGGGCTACGCCTTCCGCGTTCGTTCCTTTTTTTCTTCCCGTTGCACGCGGCGAAAAGACTCGGGAAATAAACGCTTTGACGGCGGCGCAGCCAAGGGCCACCGCTAAATAGATTAATGAGGAGAGATCGTTTCCGGGGACTTCAATTTTATTAAAGGCTGTTCAAAGCGAATCCCTCGGCGCCCTTCGTTCGTATCGCCGAGCAACGGATTATAAATGCGACGAGGTCGGAACGGGGGAACGCGAGCCCGGGAATCGAAACGCGGGATCGGCGGGCCAAAGAAAATCCGTGCATTGTGCGGAATACGTCGACGGCGCGCGGAGATCGACGATGCGAACCGACGGAAATTAACCGAGGATTCGGTAACGTCGCGCGCGTGACGGCATTCTTTTCGGACGTCCAGCGCGGAAGATAATGCTCGAACGCTCTCGGGCTAGTTACCCTACGCGTCCCGTTCTTTTCGAAACCGTATACTTTGAGGGGCGTTCCCTCGTCTCGGGAATTTTTATGCAATTTCTGCGACGCAGAGAGGTTCTCCGTATCGTCGCTAAATGCTGAATTGGCGGGCACGATTACGCGGGAGATTGTAAGCGATTCATCGAGGAAAGGTACGCGATTACTCTTTGAGAAGATTCGAGGGATGATTGCGTGAGGACTAAGGCCGAACGCACACGGGCGCAACCGATTTGAAATTAGTGCTGCAAACCGTTTGCGCTCTTTGTTTTACCTACTCCACTATCTTTGTTTTACCTAGATACACGGTCGCGTCCAACTAGTTTCGAAGTGGTTTGAAACTGATCAGTTGCGCCCGTGTGCGATCGGTCCAATAGTTTGAAAGTATTTAGAAATATAAAGTAGGAAACGTGGCATCGCTATAGTCGTGTATATTCATTTGTAATACACCTAGTGGCTGCTCCCAATATTTCTATTAGATATTAGCTTGTACGTAATCGCATATTTTCGAGATGACTTTGGAAGACACGTTTCTCGTGCGATGAGGGTACATTCGTTTATTTATGTATACCAGCGAATGAAGAAAGTTTAACAAGCTATTCCGAAACTTTCTTCATTCACCACCCCGTTTATGATTGCGATAGGCTGTGGTCGCGGCAATGGGAACTCCCGCCTTTTTCGGCCGAATCGTTATTATCGAGTCGGCCGGTGTCGCGATTTATAGCCGTGCACACGTAACGCGCATCGGCTGAATAATTTTCCAAAGAGGCTGATGTACGATACTTTCCCATTCTCATCGATCTCGAAGTGTCAAACTGGTATCAGAATCGCCGGAGTGGCGTACTACGTCTTTATCGAGTTCTCGTCGGGAGCTGGGGGCCTATCGATAGCTCGCGGCCCGAATCACCGTCTTCCACCCTTGCCGTAAAACGACATTTACCCAACGTGTCGCAATCGGTACGGAATAATTAACCCTCCGAATTTTATTTTGTCTCTCGGAAAAGCAACCGTGTCCTCTGCGATCGTTTCCTCGGTGAAAGTTCGATGGTATCGTAGAATGAGCGAATAGGTTAAATGGACAGGGTGTCCCAGCCTAACTGATACGGACCTCCAACACGAAAACTATCAATGGTACGCAGAATTGCAAATACGGGAATCGCGTGGTAAAATGGGGGCGCGCGTTTCAGCGAGAAGGAATTTTTGTTAACTTTGTTATTTAACGAGATATGATAGTCATGCTTCGAGACGCTAAAGTGTGACGGACGCATGTTTCGATAACTATGGATGATACGAAAAAATTGTTTACATGTAAATTGCAGGATACAATGGGCTCTATATTGTGACGTAAAACGACATTTTTTTTGATATTATCAATTTAACAGATATGATGGCGAAGTTTCGTTTTTCAAATGGAACTATGTATATATATATTTTTTTTTTAGACCACGCGATAGTACTTTTTAAGACGAATTCATTAAGCTATGACGTATTTACCCGAGTTTTTAAGATAGAACGCTTGAAAGTTTGCTAATTTTCAAGAAAAAAATCTCAGCTGTCGTACGTCGTTGATCGCAGAAAGTCGTGTTTGTCGTCTAGTAGTTTAGCGAACTAAACGTAGTATTTAGCAAATAATTGTATTAAGCATACGAAACATAGACTTTCGTTGTTACTGGTTCAATCGGACCACTAACCGTTGCTTTCACCGCCTAAAGTTCAATCCCAGAGTATCTTCATCGCGATCCCAATCGGATACGTTATACGCGACAGAGGGTCGGAAGCAACAAACGACAGAGGCGAACCTTTCTCCTTGTTTCGGATTGCCCTGCTCGCGGAGTAGTCCTCGATACCCGTTTATTTATTTCTGGAAAAGTAAACCGGGTTGGACCCGACGGTGTATTAACGCAATCGTCGAGGATAAATACCATAAATGGAGCTCCGTAAAATATGGGTCACTGAAAGCAAAGTATCGATGCTAAGTGATCGCGATAACGGATATGTTCGAACTGGGGCGCAAACTGTTTCCGTTCGAAGGCTCCGATCTTTCGTGTTTTAGTTTCGCGATGCCTCGAATTACCTTTAATGGCGAAGCTCGAATGTTGGAGTCAACTCGCGGAAGAAGGATTAGCTTCGAACGCCCTTCAGCCGTGAGCGACGAGAACCGTACGAAATGTTGAGACGGTGGGCCGTCGATTTAAACCGTGTTTGCAGTTGGATAATAAAATAGCAGCCGAGGAAATGGGACCTTAATGTGGAGCATATTTACAGGCGGATAATAATAGCGAGTCGAGCGGAGTAACACGGGCCATTGAAGCCTGGCTATCGACAGTAATTGTTTGCCTGGCTTACAGGATCCAATACTTCTCGCGTCGACTATGTTTCAGCTTGGATAACCACGGGACGCGATTCGGACTTGTATAGAAAGTTGTAGCAGTCTAAACGAAAAATAAGGCTCGGAGATTCGCGCCTCTACGATTCGAGTCTCTACGATTCGAGTTCTCGTTTCACTTATTCTTGGATATGGAGGTCGCGATACTACAGAGTCCAGTAAGAGATGTGACAAATTTTTTAACCCTTTGCACTCAAAGGCCTTTCTCGGGATGTTTTCGTAGAATTCTACGTGCCTGGAATCCCGAGCTTAAATTGACTTCCAAATGACGATGAATTGACTCTCGAGTTACTTCGTTACGTTAAGATACAACTGAGAGTCACCTGCAAAGGGTTAAAAGAATATAAATTAAAAAATGTTCATTAATATTCATAATGTATTTGCGTCCACAGCTCCGTGTTAATCTCGGAGAACGAAAAGAGCGCTCGAACACGAAAATGTGATGTTCGAGAATCTGGACACTCTCTCCGTTTCTTTTTCTTTATTTTTGAATTCATCGTTGTGGGAAGTACCGTAGACGCCTCCGGTGTTATCGAAGCTTTCAGCTTTAATTAGCCCCGCCGCCGATAAACAAAAGAAGACCCCCGTAAACCTCTCGGCAGCTTCCACGCGAATCCTCGGCAAGTCAGCACCGGTGGGTACTCCAGCCTAATTAGCGATATCGAAACTTTCGACGAACTCTCAGCCTCGTTTCGGCGTCTCCTAATCAGGAGCTTAGAAAATTCGAGCGGAATAACTCCGACTAATCCCTGGGGATCCCGGGTATTTAAGTAGAGGACTTGGACGGAGGTGCTCAAAAGTGGACGTGTCCACGGCGGTTCGAAAATATGGCGGTCGATTATCACGGCTCGTTTAATTGGGGGATAAGGTGAAAAATTGGCTGGGGAGGGGAAGGCGTCACGCGACACGGGCGTCCCCGGCAGATATCGTCGCGGCGCGAGTTCGTTAAACTAATATTCATACGTCTTCGAAGAAGTGGGTCGGCTCGCTGGTATCAACCTGTACACGACTCTCGTTTATTAAGTTTTCGTGCGTTCCGCAAGTTTTATTAAGAGCCAAGAAATTCCGTCGGCGTTATCGCGCGACCCGCAGTTTCGTTTTCTTCGCGACGAACGCCCGGTACCACGGCCAATCCTCTTTTCGTTTATTCCCTCGTGCCTTTTTCTCCTGTTTCGCGTCGTATCCGCGGTCGATCCTCGAGTTCGCGGGTTTCAAACGTCCCAATTATCGACACACGTTTTTGTCAACCTGATCGGTCGACGCCATTTCTATTTCGAGGCCAAGCGCCTCTCCTTTTATTAACCAGAATCGGTTATTCCGTCCGATTGTCGTACAAAGTTTCGCTGAAATTCTCGCAGAAGCTCGGATGATATTAAAACGATTACCAGGTCTGGCGATTTCGACGTGATTGAGATACGTAGTAGTCCCCACGGGTGATCACGGGGAGGTTCAAGTCATCGTTTTGCTTTTTATGGCGCGGAACTGTAAGGAGGTCCACTAAAATTCTTTTAGAGGCACGGACGACATTAGAACGATTACGAGACCCGACGGGTTCCGATTGCAGACGGTCGCGCTGACCGTAGCAGCTGGCCGCATGGGTGAATTGCTCGGAACTGGGTGCACCGCGAACTTTAACGGCTCATCGGGATGCTAATTATGAAATAACCACGGGTGGAAATTACTTATTTTATAGGGGGAAGTTGCTAGGAGTCGAGCGATATCTCTTCGGGATTTTTAAACGACGGAGTTCGACCAAAAATTTACGAGATACGGATTTGTTTACGATTGGCGCGTTGCAAACAGGATTGTTCGGCTTTACAGAGATTTAATCATTTGGGAAGGTAGAAGAGAAGAACGAGAACTCTACAGGGTCAACCCTTTGCACCCGAGGCCTTTCTTCTGGTATCTCCCAGCAACTCGAGATGCTTTCTTAGCATTCTATTACCACGAATGCTAAGATTATATTGACTTTGAAAATGAGGAGGTTACTCAATTCGACACGTATATTTTTTTTCTTTTCTTTCGGACACTTCGAGTTCCAAAGAAATGAAACCTAAAGAAAACGTAGAGTATCGAGAGACGTAGAGTCACCCCTCGAGTGCAAATACTAGTTAATAGTCTCGAAACATTTGTATCGTTTAAGGAAGCGTGACAAAAATGTCGCTTATTTTTTGGAAAATATAAGAAAAATCGATTAAAAACAAAAAGAAACCAGCTACGCCAGGACGCGCTGACGAGTTTGCGGAAGAGAAGTGGAATGATATAGAGAAATTCAACAAGTAGTCCCGCCCCTAGTCGGGACGCGAGTTAGAGACGCGTCTAATCTCCCCTGTCCTTTCCGATCTCCGAGACATATTGACTCTGGTCGTGTAATTCGCGAAGATTTCGAGGGATCGTTAACGTAATATTTGTGGAAGAAGGAAGCCACTCGGGGGATATCCTCGAGACTCCATCGAGGGTTTGTTCCCTCGCGCGGGGAAGATACCTCCGTGTGTATCGAGCTCTCTTTCTCGATGTTTTCTTTTGCACGGAGTTGTTGAACAACTTCGCGGAAGAATCGTTCCGAAACAGGTGGAATATCAGCGTAAAGAAATCTTCGAAATGTAATAAAAATTACAGACGTACAGTCAGCGTCATAAATATTCCTAACCTCTACATCTATCCAAGATATTCGTTTAAATTACATCGCAGGTTTCACGTTTCCAAGCGTACGTTTTTTCCAAGTGTATTTCATAAATATATCGAAGTATATATAAATATATACACGTATCAGCTTATTCGTGCATATATTTTTATAACGAAAAATTCATTTCGTCGTATCGAGACTATTATTACGATCGAAAATCATTTACAAATAATATGGGCGCATATCTGAACAATGTCGCACTGACGTAACGCTTGATGATAAAGACGTTAGAATAAAATAAATTGCAAAAATGTCGTGAAATCTGTAGATTTTTCATTTAGTCAAACTTCTTCAAAAGACATAGAGGATACGAACATTTACGGGATTGATGCAATTCCGTATTGCGTATCTATGCAATTAAAAAAGAAAGAGCAATCTCAAGCCCCTAAACCCCAACTCAACGTTCGATCAAACCACGGTGGCTACCACCGAAGGATTACGAATCGAAAATCCCGCATGCCGTTGGCATAATCGCAAAACACTCAGCGTAGATCCCAGGCCGAGGGCCGTATTCGGCTCCGTTATGATCGAGTATCAAAGTCGCGACACGGGTTCACCGTGTCAAGACAGTTCCCAGCCCCGCAATCCCGATAGCCGTCGGCAGCAGTTCGATAGCTGTTCTCCATCCAGCCAGAAGCCGATCCAGCGGGGTCATAGTAATAATTCGTGCGCAGAACATCGGAAACGGTCGGTACGTCTGAATCGCATATCCGGCCGAAATGGCCGGATACGAATCGGGTGTCAGCCCTGGGAATCCGGCTGGTCGATCGGTCGATTATACGCGTCCCCGTAATAGACCGTCACATGGGATAGGATCCGTTGTGTACCAGGCGAGGTTCGACCAGGCTCGAGAGGTGTCCGCTAGAAGCTTCCGCGCCGCTCCCCGACGCTCGAGGATTTGCTGCTGGACACGTGTACCCGGGTACCGTGTTCGCAGCAGGGAATTAACACAGCTCGGTCAACCTGCGGATTATTGGTGGTTGAGCACGCAACACGCGAAAAGTTCGTCTTTGAACGGGAGCGCAAACAAATTGGCTGCGTGAAAGCGGGACGAGATTTTTGCGAATTTGTTTGTTTGTTTGGTAATGCTATAAGCCTTGGGGGACCGGTGAAACTTTTTTTTTTCTGTGGGCGGAGAATTTAATGGGAGTTCGAAAAATATTTTTTCTTCGAAGAGGATGAGAGATTTGTCGCGCACGGGGTCCAAAGTCGCATTTGAACATTGCGCAAATAGACTCGTCGAACTCACGAAGCCTGTCTTTGCGAATTTTTTCTGGAAATACGGTAAGTCTCGTGGGGATGAATCTTTTTTTCTTTTTTTTTTTTTTTTTTTTTGTGGATGGAGTACGTAATGGGAGGTCGGAAAATATTTTTTCTTCGAAGATGAAGCACAGAGATTTGTCACACACGGAGTCCAAAGTCGCATTTGAACGTAGCGCAAACAAATTCGTCAAGCTTACGTCTTCTTCACGTTCGTGAATTTTTTCTGGAAATACTGTAAGGCTCGTGGTGACGAATCTTTTTTCTGTGGATGGAGCAGGTAATTTCGGAAAATATTTTACGTTCGTTTACGGAATGCAGAATACCGGCCACGGTAAGGACCAACCGAGAGCCCGAGAACCGAGAAGGCCGAGGACTGTGGCGAGAGTAATCGGATCGCGCGGGCAACCGTCTTACCTATTTCCAAGGCGGAAATAGTTGCAAGACAATCGGAGGAATCCTCGCTTAATTACGGAATTATTTCGAGTTGCTACTCACGGGAGCTCTTGCACATCCTTTCAGGAACTCGCAATCGATTTGTCTCTAAACATCGAGCCCGTACTTTTCAATTAAAACTTCTCGCGCCGTAGAACTGCCTCGAACGCGTCGTTTGAATTTCGAGAGGCAAAAAAGCGCTTTCCCTGCGTTTTATTCGACTTTGGACTCGCTCGAAAATCGAGCATCGTCCTTTGTATTCGCGATTTGGATAGAAAATCGATCTTCGAGTCGGATAAACGACCCACAGGCGTTCCCTGGATACGTTTGGTAAACGTTTCGATTGACTCCAATTCCCTGTCGCAACGTTAGCGTTCCTCCCTTTCTTTCTTTTTCGCGAATTTCTCCAGTTCCCGAAACATCGATGTTTGCATATCGTTATTTCCCTAAATCGAGCACCGACGACGTATTTTTATTATATTTACCAAAAGAGGACCGTGACGAACGAAACGTCGCGGTAATTTAAATAAACGCGAGCCTTTCACGCTCGCCCTAATAAGTCGAATTAACGCGTACGTCCTTCGTGCATTTATCGTTCGATACACGCGAGCAGAAAACGTTCTGTTTACCCTCTTGTTACGCGGAAATGTATCACGCTTCCTTTTATCGAAGATCAAACACGAATAATTAAGAGACCAACAACCGTAACAAACTACTTTCCTATTCGTTCCGTGTACTTTCGAACGTTTTTCGAACTGTACGCGAAGACGCTTCTATTTCTATTTATCGCATTCCAGTGGCAACGAATAGAAAAAAAAACATACAAGAACAGAAAGTTTAGTAATTAATTCGTCCCTAATGAAATGATTGTAAATCGAGATTCGTGAATGCAAGAGGGATGCCTGACAGATTAAACTACCTACCGGAGCTCGGCAACTTAAAATTTTTATAAACGCGTCCGACTTTCGGCGTTATTCATTCGAGGAGAAACGCTGGACGCGGTAGATACGGTCAGACTATGGCCAGATCGGACGTTATCTGTCCCGGCGCAACGCGATGATTCGCGGACGGCCGTAGCAATCGGTGTAAAAAGATCTGCCGCGTGTACTGTTCTAACGCGATTCTGAATCGCCTGGCAAACATGTGTAGACCCGTGTATCCCCTTGTTGCGCGTTCATCGCGAGCATTAAAGCCGCGGCTTTAACTGACCTCAGCGGAGCTTCGACGATAAATTTTCCGTGCCCGGCCAGTAAACGCTCGGGCAGACGTCCTCGCGCACGCCGGGATCCTCTTGGATCCCGGTACCTGGACGCTTTATGTCGATGAGCAATTCGCGCTGGGAGGGGAAAGACGAAGGAAACCGACGGAGCTGAAAATTGTGTTTGAAACGAAACTCATGGCTGACCAGATGGGCCCTTCGACGATTGCAAATGGACGCGGCTTAATGAATTTTCCTCGTTGCTATTTTATTATCGCAAGTGGTGCTCAGCGAGACTTTTAGAACTGATAGCTTTTATGAAAGCTTCAACTTCCCTGATACCAGTTCCAATATTCAAATGGTGATAAAGTTACTTGCCATGGGAATCAAAATGTAAATAATATGTTGTTTGAGACAGCAAA